GAACCCGCTATACTTGGTTTTCCAAGCGAGCGCGTTACCATTGGGCTGCCATTGCTTAAAATTTAATTCATTCTATCTAAATGCGGGCAAACAAGGTACAAACATAAAGACTGTGTCATATTTTTTGTATATATTATAAAGATTTCAAACTACCACCATATGACCGTTGGGACAATCTTATGGCCGCATCGAATTGCACATTGATAGCTGATATGTTAATAAGTTTTTTATTGATTCCCTTTGAAATCTGCAGTCGTGTTCGCGCATTTAACCGCTGTTAAACACTTGGTAATAATATAAAGCAGTAAACGTAGAATATTTTTTGAAAATATTATTATTTTGTTATTTATTTATGCTACGTTTTAAAGTTTGGTATAGATTTCTCAGAGATGAGGTATTTTTCCGCAGTAAAAAGTATCGTAATTGTTGATCCGGATTACCAGCTATCATCATACCAAATTTCATCAAAATCTGTCCTGTGGTTTTCTCGTAATGCGTTCCCAGACAGACAGACAAAAATTTTAAAAACTATAGATTCGGCCTTTGTATCGATAGTAATGAATATTTCAATAAGATTTTCTATAAAAATATTCAATGTACAGATTCGACTCAGAATTTTATTATATGTATAGATTTTAGAACGTCTAGGAATTTCTATTGTGGGATCTTTACTTATCGGCGGATCCCAGATCTGCAACCCTGTTTGACCTCCTATAAATGCGGCTCTATTCGTGTTTATATTTAATAGTCTAATTTTTTTATAAATATAAATATGTTGGGACAACACGTTGATACTCTACACATATATAACTTGAAATACAGGCATATTATAAATATAAACACCCATGATTGGAGTACAAACATCCGTGCTTATCACATAAATGAATGCCCCCAGCGGGACTCGAACCCGCGACCGCTGGAACAGCAAGTAGGGTCACTACCAACTGAGCCAAACGTGTCGACGATGTGGCGCTTTTTATTCTAAAAATGATGTTTCTTCAACGCTTGTACAGCGATTGTGTCTTAGCCCATAAAAAATGGTATTAGTTTTAGAGTTAGATTAATAACTTTACTTACTACGTACTGTTTTGATTAAGAAATATAATTAATATGTTACAAAATTTAATTCCGTTCATTTGGCAGATTCACTTTCTATGTACCCGAAGGTCGTGGCAGACAGATATGTGGGTTTTTTTATAAAAAAAAATCGATTATAACATTCAAGCTTCACGAACAAATGCTAATTAATAAACAATTTTTGACGACACGTTTGGCTCAGTTTGTAGTGTCTTCCTTGATGTACTACCAGCGGTCGCGGGTTTGATTCCCGCTGGGGTTGTGCGATGAGCATTCATACATATTTATAATATGTATGTAAAATTATATATGTGTAGTGTATCAACTATCTGGTATCCATAACACAGGCCTCGTAGTTTACCATGGAATTAGATGTGCTGTGTGTTAATGTACCAACATATTTATTTTGTCAGACTCTTTCGTGTTTTTAGTTTGGTTTTTGATAATCTGAAAAAACCTGAAAAAATCAGAACAATAGGTTTATATAAAATATTCGCGTAAATCTAAGAAAATATTAAGTACAAGCAAGTTACGAAATTTGCAACCCCTTTAAAAAAACTGTTGCATAACAATAACCTGTCAACGTCTATACGGGTGTCATTGTTCCCAATTGTACCTGTCGCTGTTTGGGAAATGGACAGTCAGTTCGGATTCGAACCTGTTACCGTGAGGTTACTTGGCAAATAGTTATGAAATATCCGTGTAGACGAGTGCTAGATAAATATATGGACTGTAGTGTGGATTTTTGTAAGTTTTTTTTTAATTTTTTGGTATATATATGCTTTGGCCTTTTGGCTTATTAGGTGATAGTTAAGTTTTCTTATACAAGAACGTGTTTAAGTGGCAATTTTCAAATTTGTTTTTTTTATTTTTTATAGGTGTAACTTTGAATGTTTGATAATTTCATATATTAATTTTCAATATACTTTTAACGATAGATGACGTTCAAAATTAAATTTTCTCATCTGATTCTCAACTATTTTTTTTAAATTAACCTTAGTATATGTATATTAATCAAATAATGTCCTTCAAATATACATTATACAAGTACACCCCGTCTCCCCCGTGACCATGATCGCTGTAAAGCATTCGAAACGTCGAGAACCAGAAATCAAAACAAATCCGCGAAGAAATCCGAAAAAAAAAGTTTTATTTAAAAAAATCCATAAACAAACTTTTCATTTATAATAAACATTAAGAATGTCTATGTGCTGTGGCTGTAAGATACTAGTTAATAATATACCTATACTTATCTAGACCACTCATGTATACTAATATTATAAAAAGGTAAAGTTCGTGAATTTGTTACGTTGTAGGGGGTAATCTCTGGATCTACTGAACCGATTTAAACGAGATTTGGTAAGAAGGTAGCTTGAGACCCTGGGAAGGACATAGGATTCTTTTTATCCCGGAAATCATCTCTTAAGGAGGTGAAAATGGGGATGAAAGTTTGTATAGGGAACCAACCTAGGGACGAATTTATATATATATATATATATAAATATATAAATGAATCCCTATTTTCCTTGGTCACGCCATCATGCGTGAACGGCTGGACCGATTTAACTATTTCTTGTTGTTGTTTTTGTATTGTCAGGAGAAGGTTCTTATGAAAGAAAAAATTAACGAAAAAAAAAGTTAAAATGTATATGGCTAACGCTGGCTAATAACTATGTACATATATCTATTTAAAACGTACCTAGCGACGAAGCCGCTAGTCACTACATAGTATAAAACAAAGTCGCTTTCTCTGTCCCTATATGCCTATGTATGCTTAAATCTTTAAAACTACGCATCGGATTTTGATGCGGGTTTTTTTAATAGATAGAGTGATTCAAGAGGAAGGTAGTAGCTTAGTATATAATTTGTTAAGTTTTTGTATACATTGTCTAAAATATAACGATATTTGTTGGAGGTGTCGGAAAAAATAAGACGTCTGGGAGCTTTCAACGAAAACGCTGTCTAAACCCTTTGAGATATAACAAAATAATGTATGGTGGAATTGTGTATCTTATATAGGTCTAGAGAAAAGTCCGCGATGGCATATGTCTATCTCTTAAGGATAAGGATAACATACTATATCCATTTTAATTTAAAACGTACCTAGCGACGAAGCCGCTAGTGCACAATGAAAATAGAAGAAAAACCAGGAGCGTTAGCTAGTTTAATCATATCCACAGCCTACAAAGCCTTCATTACTATTCTAGTATGACCGCAGTATGCAAAATTAGAAAAAAATTATGCATTCCACTGGAAAAAAATCCCAAAACATACATATTTATACGAAATGAGGGGGAAAAGAGGGCTCTTACCTTTGAATTTGACGGGAAAACAACATCGCTATGAATTATTTACGTTAAATCTAACAAATGATTTCACTTACAATATTAGTGCACCCTAAACAAACTTATGAATAACATATGGATGTGTATTTGTTGCGAGCTTAGCAGTGGATTCTAGCTTTCTAATCTATACTGATATTAAAAAAATCAAATAACTTTGTTCGTCTGTTTGTTTGTTACGTTTTAACGCCTTAACTGGTGATTTTGTTGAATTTTCGAAAAGATACAGATTGGACATTGGAGATGGGGCATATTTTGTCGTAGCCATATAACTTATGGGGGGTGAAATAGTGGATGAATAAACTAATATTGTAAATGTTAAATTGAGCTTGTTAATTTTTACTAACTTGAAAAAAGAAGAAGTCTAGTGTAGGAAGCAGTGTATTTTTTGTGTGTAGTTCTTTGCGGTTCTCTACTAATGTCGAGCCGATTTTCACGTTTCTTATGTTATCTATATACATATAATAAAATTGTAACAAAGTCGACAGTCTGTACATTAAATGTTTTTTGGAAAATCTTATTGAAATAGACATTATTATCGATACAGAGTCCGAATCTATAGTTTTTTAAAATTTTGTCTGTATGTCTGTCTGTCTGTCTTTTACCGCATCACGAGAAAACCACTAGGCAGATTTTGATGAAATTTGGTGCGATGATAGCTGGTTATCCAGGTCAACATATAGGATACTTTTTACCGCGGGAAAATATCTCATTTCTGAGAAAAAATACAAAAACTGCAATGTAAGAGTATACTAATATGTAAAACCTTAGAATTTGGTTTTTGGTCATTTGAACGCGGGCGGAGCCGCGGGAAATGCTAGTTTAATCTATATTATTAATGCGTAAGTAACCTTGAGATTGGCATAAGATAGTTTTATATAGAAGAAACATTGATATAAATTACTATTATACACATTTCCTAACAAATATCTTTTTAAAAAGTGGCGTCGATATGTGACGTAAGTCAGAACAAAGAATAAAATACAAAAATCGAAAGTTCTAATTATCTAAACATAAATTCGAACTTACGAACAACACATAAAGTACTTTTTTAAACGAAACAATGTACGTTTTAATTTTGTCATCCGAAAGCAATGAACAAAAGAGATTTGAAAAAAGCGCAATTCAATTTTGAATTGTGCTCTTTTTATTCTGGACACTTTTGAGACGCTAATTGTATATCCTTGAAACTGCCTCGGTGGTGTAGTGGCTAGCATGTACGGCTGCACAGCCGGAGGTCCTGAGTTCGAATCCCGGGTCGGGCCAAGTTTAGTTATTCAGTCTTTCTGTATAGTAAGTCTCAGTAATAGCCCGGAGTTGGGAAGTTGGCGGTGTTGCACCCCCGTGCTTCGGAGAGCATGTAAAGCCGTCGGTCCTGCGCCTTAATTCTCACTGGTCGTGTCGAGCAGTCGTCCCACCGGAGTATGAGAGTGACAGGAATAGAGAGTGCACTTGTGTCTGCGCGTACACTTGTGCACTATAATATCTCCTGCGCAGTTAGCTAGTCTCAATGAGATTGGCCGCCGTAGCCGGAATCGGCTAGGAGAACATCTTCATCATCCTTGAATTTTTATATAATCAATGGTTTTAATAATCAACGATTTTAATTTTCTATTCTATCGTCCAGCTCGTCGCAAGGAGATACGGCCGCACTCCCTAAACGCGGCCATCATGAAGGAGAAAAGCAAGAATGCTGCAAGATCGCGTCGGGAGAAGGAAAATGCGGAATTTTTGGAACTAGCAAAACTCCTGCCTTTGCCTTCAGCAATAACTTCTCAGTTGGATAAAGCATCAGTTATTCGATTGACTACCAGCTATTTGAAGATGCGCCAAGTGTTTCCAGATGGTAGGTCCAGATTTTTTTTATTGGTTGATACTTAGTTGTCGTGTTATTTTATTTAAATATGGGTCTGATGGATTTTTTTTCTTGGAAATTATATAGACTATGTTATTGGATCAAAGGAAATGATCAAAATTATTTATAGCGGAATTAGTAAATTGTAAATATGACAAATTGACATTTTAAATAAAACTATCTTTCAAGTTTTTTTCGCGGATTAATTTTGATTTTTAGTTCCCGAATTTTCGAATGCTTTACAGTGGACATGGTCACGGGAGACACGAAGGTTTTAGACGTCTCAAAGGTATATATAGTTGCCACAGACAACAGTCAAATGTAAAACAATCGAAATGTCGAGAACCAAAAATCATAATAAATCCGCGAAAAAATCCGAAAAGATAGTTTTATTTCAAATATTCGCATAAGTTTAAGAAAGTATCATTATAAATTGACTTATGTCTTTGTTTTGATGGATTTAAAACTCTTTCTATTGGATTACAAAGAGTTTAATTGGAAGGAAAATTAGGTGTCCAAAAATGTCTGAACAAACAATTTTGGTCTATGGCTAAACATATAGATTAAAAAAATATTTTTAGAGTTGAAAAACTTTTCTAAGGAAATTGGTTGTAGTAATAATTAAACTAATAATATGTAACTATATAAAAAAAATCAAATATGCAATGCTGATGTTTTAAATTTAAAAGTGCTTGTATAAGTATAATTGAATAAAATTAAATTTCATTTCTTGATACTATATATGTATATTATAGTGATAATAATAGTTCTTGTTTTATCCTATTGGTTTTTCCATTAAAAGTCAAATAAGTTATAAAACAAACAGACAAACATTCGCAATTACAATCATAACATGGGTCCAGGTTTGGGAGATGCTTGGGGTGCAGCACCTCCTCCTCCACAGCCTCGAGAGCTGACCATCAGGGAACTTGGTTCCCATTTACTCCAGACCCTCGATGGTTTCATATTTGTGGTAGCTCCAGATGGAAAAATTATGTACATAAGTGAAACGGCGTCCGTTCATCTAGGATTGAGTCAGGTAAGAAAATTAGACCTGATACTAAATCGTTGCCATATTCAATAGTTATACATATATATTCGTATACATAACAAAAGAGATTATTATTTTTTCTGAACGGAATCTCTGGATTATCGATTGGAACTATCGATTTTTGGTCCAATATGAAAAATTCTTATTGAGTTTCATAATCTTATTGAGGAAGGTTATAGCCTAAAAATCTGTCATGTATCTATTCAGCCCTTTTTGACGTCCCATAGCTGGGCGTGGGCCTCCCTTCAATACGAGGGGGATCAGGCCATAGTCCACCACGCTGGCCAAGTGCGGGTTGGCGGACTTCACATGTCTTTCGACAAATTGCTAGGTTCTCTCAGACATGCAGGTTTCCTCACGATGTTTTCCTTCACCGTAAGACAAGTGTTAAAAAGGGCTGAATAGAAGACAAGTGGTAATAATGTTGGAAATGATTCGTACATGAATGTCATGAATTAGAAAAAAAAACGTGAGTTTAACAAAAATAATCTAATTTGTAGGTGGAGTTGACCGGTAACTCTATATATGAATATATTCACCAAGCAGATCACGAGGAGATGAATGCAGTACTGAGCTTACAGCATCCGCATTCTTATCTTGGACACCCGTCTATTGGGTATGTAAATATTATAATCATCTCATGTAATATAATTTAAAAAAAACTTTTTTTTAAGATTTTTTGCGGTTTTGTTTTACTACTGTAAGATCATAATTTTTTTTAATATTTTCGAATTAGACTAATCTATACATCTAATATTTTTTTTTTCATTAAATATTTTTTGAAAAATATTATTGAAATAGTCATTATTATCGATACAAAGGCCGAATCTATAGTTTTTAGAATTTTTGTTTGTCTGTCTATCTATCTGTCTGTTTATCTGTGACCGCATCACGAGAAAACCACTGAATAGATTTTAATGAAATTTAAATGATGATATCTGGTCATCCGGGACAACATATAGGACACTTTTTACTGCGGTAAAATATCTCATCTCTGAGATCTATACCTACTAAACATTAAAACGTAAACGTAAATAAAAAAAATAATACTATAAAGTACTTTAACGATTTTTTCAGCCCTAAAGCTGTAATAATTATTATTAAACTAGGGATCCTCACTTCGCTCGCAGCTTGCTTATAGTCTATCTGTATACGTAAATTTCATCCAAATCCGACCAGCCGTTACAAAGTAACAGAGTAACAAACAAACACACATACAAACTTTCGTATGTATATATCCCACAGTTATCCTGTAGGCGGTACTTGGGGTCCAAATGTAGACATTGAATGTGAGCGTGCCTTCTTCATACGTATGAAATGTGTGCTTGCAAAGAGAAACGCTGGTCTCACTACTTCAGGATATAAGGTAAGTTAAAAATATTCGTTTATGTGTTCCCGATCAATTTCGGCCATATCGGTCAATCTTACTAAGACTAGCCAGCTGGAGGAGATATCATAGTGCAGCGTGTGTGTGTATGTTTGAGAGAGAGACAGAGAGAGAGAGAGAGAGAGAGAGAGAGGTGTATTCTCTATTCCTGTCACTCTCATACTTCATTGGGACGACTACTGAACTCGACCGGTGAGAGTTAAGGCGCAGGAGTTACGCGACACGTGCTCTGCCTCGGCACGGAGGTGAAGCACCGCCTACTTCCAAACTACTGAGATTATCTCAGTAATCAAAGTTGGTCCGACTCGGGACTCGAACCCAAGACCTTAGCATCTGCAGCCGTACATGCTAGGCACTAAACCATCGAGGCAGTTACGCAGGACAGCAGGAGATATTATAGTGCAAACACAAGTGCACTCTCTATTCCTGCCACTCTGTTTTTTAATAAGATATACGTACATTTCCTAGTTTTAATAACTTTTAAGTTTTAACTACATTTGAATATATTCCATACGTTATAAAATTATATTATTGAACTAGTTTTTATCTCATTCTTTATCTGAACGGGTTGGAGCTTATGATGTAGACTAGCGACTCACCCTCGCTTCGCTCTGGTTCGTCTCTAGGTTGATACCCCATACAAACTTCCACCCCCATTTTCACCCCCTTAAGGGATAATTTCCGGAATAAAAAGTATCCCATATCCTTCCCAGGGTCTCAAACTATTTTCTTACCAAATTTCATCTAAATCGATTCAGTAGATCCAGAGATTACCCCCTACAACGTCACAAACCCACAAACTTTGCCTCTTTATACTATTAGTATAGATATGTACCTAATACCTATGTATGCATGTATGTATGTATGACGACATGTTTGGCTCAGTTTGTACTGACCCTACTTGCTGTGTCAGCGGTCGCGGGTTCGAGTCCCGCTGGCATTCATTTGTGTGATGAGCACGAATGTTTGTACTCCAGTCATGGGTGTTTATATTTATAATATGTATGTATCTAAAGTTATATATTATGTGTAGTGTATCAACTATCCGGTATCCATAACACAAGCCTCGTAGCTTACAATGGAACTAGATGGTGCTGTGTGTTAATGTACCAAAATATTTATTTATGTATGTACATATCATATACGTATATACGGAAGACAATTTCTTACATGCCCTGTATATATGAAATTTTATGATTTTTTATTCGCCCTTCGCATAACAACAATCTCTGTATAAATGACAGATACTAATTAGAGAGGGTCTAGAGTGGGATATGGGAGTTGATTAAAGAATAGTTTTTATTTTATATGTAAATATGGACCCCATAGCGATGGGGAGATGATAATTTTCTAATGGGAATGGAAATTTTCCTACACTGAAGTATTCAGCCCTTTTTAACGGCCCACTGCTGGGCATGGGTGTTCCATCAATGCGACTTGGATCAGACCACCTGGCCTAGTACGGGATAATCTGAATTAATTTCATATCTATCCATTCATATTGGAAACCGGTAAAATATTAATAAGTATTCAGCCATATTTAAAGCCCCACAGCCCACTGTTAGCCACGGACCTCCCTTTAATACGAGGGGGATCAGGCTATAGTACACCACGCTGGCCAAGTGCGGGCGGACTGAGCATGTCTTTCGAAAACTTGCTAGGTTCTCTCAGACATGCAGGTTTCCTCACGATGTTTTCCTTTACCGTAAGACAAGTGGTAATCATGTTGGAAATGATTCGTTTCACTCGATTTCCCAAACAAGCGCGTTTCACTGGGCTACCACTGCCTTATTCACTATATGGTAGTTTATTACTCTGTTGTCTTTAGTCTATACATATAATAAAATTGTAACTAAACCGAATCTGTATATTATTATTTTTTTTTGGAAATTTTATTGAAATAAATATTATTATCGATACAGCAGCCGAATCTATAGTTTTTAGAATTTTTGTCTGTCTGTCTGTCTGTCTGTTACCGCATCACAGAGAGACCACTGGAGGGATTTTGATGAAATTTGGTATAGTGATAGTTGGTTATCCGGGTCAATATATAGGATCATTTTTACCGCGGGAAAATATCTCATTTCTGAGAAAAAGTACAAAATCTGCATTGTAAGGGTATACTTATATGTTTTTGGTTTTTGGTCAACTGAACGCGGGCGGAGCCGCGGGCAAAGCTAGTATAATATAATAGTTTAATGTTGTGCTATCCCACGGGATAGCATTACTATAGACCTGGTAGTCCAGAGTCTCTCCTATGTAATCATGTTTACTGTAAGACATTTAGAATGCTAAAAAATCTGAAAAAGGCAACATCTGGTCAAAATTTATCCTTTTCGAAAAATCGGAAGCGTCATATTTGCTATACTTATCTAAGAAAGTATATATTATTAGTATGTAAAGCTATCGAGTATCGGTCCTGCGCCTGATCTCTTGGTCGTCTCGAAGTAAAGTCCCATGGGAAGTTGATAGTAAGTAAAAGGAATAGGGAGTGCACTTGTGTCCGCGCGTACACGCACTCACACGTATATATATAATAAAATAATATAATAAATAAGAAACCAGTTCATCCTCCTCTTTCGAAGGTCATCCACTGTTCAGGATACCTTCGCGCAAGGCGGTTCGGTGAAGCCACAGCTCCATTAGGACTGGTCGCAGTGGGACATTCTCTCCCGCCGTCCGCTGTCACGGAGCTAAAGTTACACTCGAACATGTTCATGTTCCGAGCTTCTTTGGACATGCGACTCATATTTTTGGATGCAAGGTAAGTTTTGAGTTTGAGTTTTTTTTTAATATTTATATTTTTTTTTAATATATCGTCTATACAATAAAATAAAATTGTAACTAAGTCGAATCTGTACATTAAATATTTTTCGGAAAATCTTATTGAAATAAACATTCTATAGTTTTTAGAATTTTTGTCTGTCTGTCTGTCTTGTACCGCATCACAAGAAAACCACTGGACAGATTTTTATGAAATTTGCTATGATGATAGCTGGTTATCCGGGATACTTTTTATCGCGGCAAAATAGAATTTCTGAGTAAAAATACAAAAACTGCAATGTAAGAGTATACTAATATGTAAAACCCAAGAATTTGGTTTTTGGTCATCTGAACGCGGGCGGAGCCGCGGGCAATGCTAGTTGTAAATATATTTAGGTAGCTTACTATCCAGAATTTTTGAATTTGTAGAACTTGAATCCAGAATTGGTAGAAATCCAAAAGCAAAGGACCATAAGTAAAAATTGTATTCCTTATGGGGGTATATAATAGGGGGTTAGCATTAATCTAAGCTTTGTGAAGTTTAAAAGCAGAGCTTTCCGAGTCGGCGGTAACTTCGTCACGGACATACACTGATTTCAACATAAAAGTAAAAATTTGTTTATCAAAACTTCAAAAGTGCTCTTTGAAACTTCGATTAAAAATACTGCTAGATATCGTGTCGGCGTAAGAAATCCGTCTCGGTAAATATATATATATATATAAGCTCACTTTGCAAGTGAGCTTATATTTCGATTAGTTCTATTGAAACACTGCCAACGTAAACACGTTCATAATGCCGCAATACATATTTAAAAGTTGCAAAAATAACGCACGAAGAAGAAATTTTTTAGACGGAGTATCTTATTTTCGGTAAATACATGTAGATTAAATCAATATTTTTAAGATTTGACCTACGAAATAATATAAAAATGAAATTTTGAACAAATTTACACCCGCTAATAACGTTGGCCCATACACGCGCAAATTCTAAGAAACAAAACATAACGATTTAGCTCACAAAGCAACAACTTGAAAAAGTGCTTTGTTCTTTTGATATAAGTTTGAATTTATAATAAATATTATAAAACTTACGAAATGATCGTAAGTGTATGATGATAATTTGAAGATTTATGACTTTATTACAAGGTGTTATGGTGTTGATTAGCTTGAAAATAAAACTATTATAAGACTGTCTTGGTTCGTTAGTATACAACTAAAGCTGTATGAGTGCATATGCGCGCGGACAGAATTTAGCTTCGATTTTGTACGTGACACGTTATCTAGTAGATTGTTGATCGAACGAAGCTTTTAATGTATATATTTTGAAAAATTTCAAGTTTTTTGTATAAAATCACATGTACGTGTAAAACCGCGTTCGGGAACTAGTTGGCAATAAAATAATAAGAAATAATTTTGCGAGTGTTAATAATAACGTAGCGGAACGCCACTCTAAGCGATTTCACACAGCGAGGGTTGTTTGTAGTCGATGAAAATATATCGATTATTTAAAATTAGCGACTCACTCTCGCATCGCTCGGATTTATTATTATTATGTATGGAATAGCAGTAACTTAGTCATGTCTTTTTATTATCTGTAGCCACTAATTATGCTCCACATTTTAAGTAGAACCTCCTAAAACATTCTAAACCTATACTTTTACAACAGAAAAAAAAACAATATCCATTTTTGGTTGATATACGGGTAAAAATTGGACGTACTTATACAAAATAGATCCAACCACAAAAACTTACTTTTGAGTAAACAGGAGTTTTAGCAAAATTGGCATATCAAAATAACAAGATTGTAGTTTTTTTTAGTTTTAAATATTGGATATTTTATCTACTTTCTGTACATAATTTGATATGTAGGTGCCATTTATGAGAACCACACAAAAAACGGTTTTCGTGGACTAGATCTATTTTGCATAACTACCTCCTTTTTTTTAAAAAACTAGCGACTCACCCTTGCTTCGCTCGGGTTCGTCGTGACGTCGTCGTTCGTCGGGATAAAAAGTATCCTATATGTCCTCGCTAGAGCCTCAAACTATCTTCTTACCAAACATCTAAATGGGTTTAAACGTGTCGTCGTATTAGTGTAATATAATTGCACTTGAAGAGATTTGTATTCGAATTCGATTTTAAATTTCACCAAAGACTATTTTGTCTTCTGTTTGATAGTTACCCGTTTTTACTTAAATGATGATGTTACTTAAATAATTTACATTTAAAAAGTCTGGAGTTTGTGGAGGAACCTTACATATCACTATTTATTTTTTTAATATATTGCTATCATCTCTTATCGGCCATTTAAGGGGATGTTTTTTACCCCTGCCTTAGTAGTCACCTTGATCCAAGTGCGTTTTGTTTGAGTTAGTCGATGAATGAATTAATTATAATAAGAATTGCTTTAAGTACAATTTCATTATTTCAACCCTTTTAACGTCCAACTGCTGGGGGTGGGCTTCCCTTCAATATGAGGGGAGCAGGTCATAGTCCACAACGCTGGCTGAGTGTGGGCGGACTGAGCATGTCTTTCGAAAACTTGCTAGGTTCTCTCAGACATGCAGGTTTTCAAAAGATGTTTTAAATTACCGTTAAGTAATAATTTTGGAAATGATTCGCACATTCTAATATCTGAGATGCGAGACCCAGGATTTAGAACCCGAAACGGGTTTTCCTTATCGATTTTCCAAGCGAGCGCGTTACTACTAAGCTACCACTAAGTTTTCCCGAATACTTACAAAAAAAAATCAATTTACCAACTAACAGACGAATAGGCGAATATTATACATTTGTAATTAAACCTCTTTTTTCGGTTTTTTATGTGGTTTTTTAAATATATAAGTAATAAAAAAAAATCGCAAAAAAACGAAGTACCTAATAGTTTTATTTAAAACTAGCATTGCCCGCGGCTCCGCCCGCGTTCAGATGACCAAAAACTAAATTCTTAGGTGTTACATATTAGTATACTCTTACATTGCAGTTTTTGTATTTTTCCTCAGAAATAAGATATTTTCCCGCGGTAAAAAGTATCCTAGGATCGCGCGCTACATCGCCCGGTTTATATAGCTTGAGCAGGCGGTCGAGCGATGCGGGGCAGAGGGGATGGACTCGCCGTAGGCATCTCAATGCTCGCCAAGCATTAAAAATGTTTCGCTACTAATTACTTCTAACAACGATATCTCAAAAACTATTCATCTGATTGATTTAGTGTAAAGAGCAATTTTAATCTGCATTAAATGACTAAGCTAACTAAAATATTCATTTGGATAAGGATTAATACCGAACTAAAGAAAATAACTTTGAAAATAACGTAATGTTTTTTAATTAAAAATGTTAACATAAAAGTGGTTATTGTAAGTCAACCGTAAGAGATAGAGATATGCTATCGCGGACTTTTTTTGTAGCATTTTTTATAGATTTTGAATTCCTCTAGTACATTACTTAACTGTATCTTTGCTAGTTTACGCGGCGTTCGCGTGGAAAGTTCCCATTTGGCGAGATTTTTTGCGACCTCTTCAACATTTGTCGCCGTATTTCAGCTAATTTACATAAAAGCATAATAAATTATATACCTAAACCTTCCTCAAGAATTACTCTTTCTATTGTTGAAAACCGTATAAAAATCCGTTCAGTAGTTTTCGAGTTTATCGCGTACAGACAGACAGGAGGACAGACAGGAGGACAGAAAGACGCGGCCGGGGGACTTATTTTTATAATAAGTATAGATGATAATTAACCAAATAAAACACTTTCCTTTTCAATAATTATATAATATATTTTCTTAGATTTTTAAATTTTAACCTACAGTGAATATGTCCCCACTCTAAGGTCGATAACAATTTATATGGCATTCCGAGAAACGTATCGCTATGGAACAATACATCGCGATTTGCCAATGCCGACCGATTGTGTCGATGTTACGACACGGTTTAAGTAAATAGTTTTTTGAAGTAAAACTTCTTTATAAATTGGAATAGTTGTGATTTGAAACTCGATGAAACGGAAATACGACACGAGAAAGAAACAAACACATAAATATATAAGATTAAGCCGGCGAGAGAATGAGATAGAAGACATTACACAGGAATTGAAAAATAATACTGAATAATATGTTATGTAATATATGTCAAATAAAATGAAAAATAAATTTTAATCTTGGTAAAAATATTAAAATAAATCTTAAAATTATCCTACACCTGATACTCTATATATGTTCATCTCATTCTCTGGTAGGTTACTTTTCTGAAGTTTCACTTCTACCGTGTGTGAATTGCACACACGGTAATTTTTTTCACGAAACTAATAATCTATAATAATAGGACTACTATTACAAATGTGTTTGTTTATATGTTTGTTTCTCCTTAACGCTAAAACGACTGAATGGATTTGGATAAAATTTAGCACATAGATAAACTATAAGCGGGACTTCTATGGCTACAATTAAAAAAATAATGTTTTATTAGTTTATGTGCGAGACCCGGGATTTGAACCCGCTTTACTTGATGTCCCAAGCAAGGGCGTTACCACTCAGTTACTACTGCATTGGATTTCGTTTAATTGATTCAGGTACTTACGTATCATTAAAAAATAAGATAATCTAGTTAAAATCTGTTTTAAATCATTTCTATCAGCTTTTAAAAAATAACCTTCATCTCGTTAATCTACTTCCATCCAATCCAATTCGTCGGGATCTTTTTTTTCTTTTTTTTATGTATGTTCACCGATTACTCGAAGACGTCTGAACCGATTTGGAATTTTTTGTTTGTTACAAAGGGTATACTTCCCAGATGGTCCCATATAAATGTTATCGAAATCGGTCAAGCGGTTTTCCAAAAATTCAACAATAAATATATTTTTTTAAATAAATTGCTTAATCGAATATGTTATTAAAAAACTTTCTTCTTACAAATTATTTGCTTATCACGTCTACACTAAAAATGGAAAAATAAAAACTTTTTAACAAAAAATAAAAACCGATTTGCAGGCACTAATATGTAA